CGAAAGTCACCCAAGTATTACTTTTAAATTGAGTCAGGAGGTACATAAAGTAGAAGATCATTTAATAGTTCAAAATGCTATTAAATTAAATATATATATATTAATTGAATTTATTATTTTCAATTAATAAAACTTTGTTCCTGTATTAAATTATGACGGGACTTACACGAACTTTTCTCATTTCACAATATAATTTCGGTTCCTACGCGACACACACATCATCACAGGTAATCAAATAATCAAGCTAGGCCACAATGGGGTCTAGGGTGTTCACCCGCACAGATGTCTAATAAATTAAAAATATGTTTTGCTTTCTAACTTTTATAAAATATTTATTTTAAATAATCATGAATAAAACTTATCACATTTGACTTATCGAATCTACTATAATTCACAAGCTAGGTTCAAAAGTTGCATTTTTAATTTTAATGCAACATAAACTTTTTTTTTTCATAATTTAGAGACCGGAAAAAAACTTTAATAAAAAACTTTAAAAAATATACAACATTGGAAGTCATTGTTTTTTATGTCTTCATGACATACTTAATTTAAAAATTTAAAATAACGCATGATTTTTATTACTTTTTTCATGCTTTAAAGTTTAAATGTTATTAAAAATGCAATTTTTTATCAAAGATTGTTAGTTTAGTAGCTTTAATAAAATTGTTGGAATTGTTCAGGAAGTTCTTGTTTCCCACGTGATAAAATATTTTTCAGAAATACAAAAAAGTATTTATGCGTGACTTTTAAAACATTTTAATGAATATTTTCCCTAGTTGCACCCCCTCTCTGAAAAAAATGTCTTTGAGCACATTTGTATACAATTGACAATTCATTCCTTAAAACAGTTATTACATTTTGAAAAAATCTGAAAATTTCAATAAAAATTTTAATTAATAATTTACAGTCAGGCTAACTATGAGAAGTTTTTAAGGTTTCTTTCTCCACGTAACGCAAATGCAGGTCAGTTTAATCACACAATCCGTCAGAAACGTTTGTTTTCCCCAATACTTGTATTTTCTCTTATCTTTTGGATCCGTTTCAAAATTGTAAAGCTGCGAAGTTCAGCATTTATGTTCGTAAACTCAAAAATGGGTAGGGTGTTCAACACTGTTTATGTAAACTAAAAATAAAAGTAATAATTTGAGCTTTTTAAGTATAATCCCCTACTTTTGCAAAATACAAGTCCAAAAATACCCTAAATAAGTTTGTGCCCAGAATCACAATATCTCTTTGTATATTGGTCTCAGGCTATAACTTAGCGAATTTAGTCAAAATAGCATATAAAAAAATTTATTTTTCAAGGAAATTGGTCATTAGAACAAATGGTAAGATTTGTGGTGGGGAAAATCAGATAGCAATAGATGAGTAAATACAAAATCAGACAAAGTTTTTAAAAAAATCGCCACCAAATATTACCACCGCTTTTTCTAATACATTTAAGTAATTTAAATAATTTTATGCTAGTTTTGTTTTGCAAAAATGTCACATATATAAATATAAATTAAGCTACTACGCAGAAAAATTTCTTGCAAAAAGCGTAAGAGTTTGGTGGTTTTACAATGTAAATTATTCCAAATTTAAATGTAATAAATTATTTATTCCTACTAAATCAATAAAGAAAACATTTACGAAAAAAATAAGTCTATTTAATAAATTTTTTTGTTGTTTTTCAAACATTTGTATTTTTAAATAACTAAAGTTTTACAATTTTAAGCGGGATTTCCCCTGCAGATTTAGAAAATACTGCCGCATGGAGTGTAAATAAAATTCAGATGGGTATCATTTTGAAGGTTATATGGTGATTTCTATACCGAAAAAAATGCCTCTAGACTACATACAAGCCATATTATAAAATATCATTATAAAAATGTTCCTTAAGTTTTCGTAGGAGATTTTTTCCCAAAAATCTACACCTGTCGTTATAAAATATTATAAAACAAATCCTTCAAGCTCACAAAGGTGATTTCTGCCCAAGAAATGTAATTGACAACTTTCAAACCAGAAAATAAATTACTTTGTGAAAAATAATAATAATGTTACTATATTTTTATTTTTAAAAAAATGGTTTAGAAAGCTAATTCCAGTTAAACACGATTCAATAAAATTTCCAATTTTATATTTAGTTCTTTAAATCTTAAAATAAATTCAATCTTACCAATTTTAAAAATCTTACCTATTTTACAGTCAATGAAAAAGATGGAAGGAAGAAAAAAATTTTAACCTACATGTATGACTTGAAATTAAATTTTGAATTTTATAAAATATGCTGAAATTTCAAAATACGCAGCTCGTTTTTCTGCCTGAATCCGATCAGGTTTAGAACAACTTCGTTTGCTATTTAAAATGGGAAATTAATTTAAAAATAATTAAATTAAATTTCAAATTCAACAACTGTTTGAATTTTAAATTCCACATTTCCCAACAGTACTTATAAAAACAAGAAAAACTATACTTATCAGAAGATTAACCCATTGGTTTACTCATGGCGTTCCACGAATTCATGAATCAATTCAAAATCATTAAATTTCCTGGTCTAACCAAACACAAACAAAGCTTAAGTTCACTGCAAAAATTTTCCTTCCTCATATTCAAAAAAAAAAATTTTTTTTTATATACATAAATTTGACCAAAAATGAAAATTTTTAATTTCCGAAATTTGAAAAGCTTCTGCTGGTGGGAAAAAAATAGGTAAAATTATCAGACTTTATTGTAATGATATTTCCGGTAAAAAAAATTCCCAAAACACAATTCTGATTAATAAAACCAAAATGTACGGCATTTAAACCATTCATTTGATAATTTGCCTGTTCATATGGAAATGGTTACTAGAAATTCTGATCTTCAAAATTTTAGTTCTTAATACCAGACACTTAGTAATGAAGTACAATACCGAAAAGTAAATTTAGCCGAATAAATGGGTTTTTTTGCCATACTCTTGGGTATCCTTATAAAATTGCCAAATTTTATAGGTAAATTATACCATATTCTGGTAGTTTTCACCATACTTTTTTCTTCCAGTGACACCAACGGTGATTTTTACTTGAATATTTTACTTCAAAAACCGTCAGTGTATGTAACTGAATTATAAATTTCCTTTTTCCAATGTAAATTTTTCATCTATCTCTAAAATGGATTCTGGCTTTATACCTTAACCAACTTTAGCGTGAAATGAAAAGTTCGGTATTAAGCGGTATTCTACTCTTGTTCCTTTATTTATTTAATTAAAACGCTTGTTTTTTCCAGCTTTATTTTTTTTATTTATTTAAACAATACATATAAGTATATTAATGTGCATTTAAGGTATCAACACAATTTTTTTTATAAGAAAGGCTTACTCAAAAGTTTACCTTTCGGTAAGCAAGGGTCCTAAAATTACAAATCTAAAGTAACGTCTAAGAATTTATTAAATATTTTTCAAAAGAAGGAGAAATTTGAGATTAAAAATTACGAAATTTTCATGTTACGCTAACAGCTCTATAACAAATTGAAGTGTATAAATTTCAAATTTTTTTTTCTTCTTAAATCAATAATATGATTACCTGTGTTTTGACCGAAATCTTACAAAAAATTGAAAAAAACAATGAAACTGAATACATTGTTTAATATTAAATTTTTAAAGACAAAATGCAAATATTCTTATTTAAAACTTGAAAATAACAAATCCTCACTTAGACTTTAGCTTCTAATTCAAAACACGGTTAACCTTTCACAAAATCTTAAAATTTCAAAATAATATGTCATAAACTTTTTTTGTAATGTATGTTAGCATGAAGAAATTTTTTCAAATTCAACGTTCTTCGGAAAATGTATTTAAAATTCAAGAAATTTCAGACAATAAAAATTGATTTCGAAAATAATTTCTGAAACTAAATTTTATTTGCCTTGAAAATATAATTTATTAAAATAAATAAAGGTTTAAACATTCTAAGTATAACAAAACAAAAAAAATTTTTTCGTTTTCTGGAGTTTACTTCCGGTTTCGGTTTCGTCTGCCAACATCCGAAAAAACAACTACAACTTCATTTCTAAATATCAGAGATCAAATCTTTAAATGTAGTTGGAAAGCTGATAAAGTTTTTTTTGTCGAAATCGGCGATTCTCAAACAGTTGGATACCCTAAATATTTAAATTAAGGGAGGTGTTCAAGGAGAATCATGCATACTTCTTGCATGTTGTGACCTCGAATTTTGCTTTTATTTTTGATGAAATGCAGTTACAGTAATATTAAATAGTTGTCATAGATTGAGCTATAGTAATCATTAACGTGATGTCATACACTGTTAGAATTTTTTCACTCTGAAATTATGGTAGAATAACCGGCAGCAGTTTGCCCGTCCAATTAACCGTGAAATTTACGGTAAAGAACAATTGCCAACCTTAACGATTTTAAAACCGTTTACAACTAGTATGTTTAAAAAAAACATGAATACAAAACTATACAGTTTCTTAACCATTTACAACTAGTATGGTTTCAAAACTTTAAAAAAGACATTTAACTGGACATTGGAGATAGTTTAGTAGCTTTATGTTGCTGCCATTTATGCATAAGTGAGAGTATCGCATCCTAATAGTCCAGGGTAACAAATTGGGGTGTGCAGGACACTGGAAACTCTTCGTGCGTTGAATAGAACGAATGAAATGTTTTGGTATCAACACTGGAGTTAAACTCCCGCTTTATTGGTCATAAGACTGACAGATTTGCCCTCTCAGCTATGATATGCATGCAGCTGCAAGGAACTAAGTGGCTTCAATCAGTGAAACTAATTGGTGCGTTAAAATTGTAGTTATTTAACAATATTAGTTGAAAGTAGTTAATAAGCGGTTTTTGTCACAGTTAACAGTTTGATTACCATCGTATTTATGGTTATTTGACTGTTAGGTTTGAATATGGCAAAATAGCAATTAGATAAATTGTCATTTAATTATTTTTTACGAGGAATTTATGACAGTGTATATTTTCAGATTTTTGGATTTTAGGAATAAATAACGAAACCCACTTAAAAAATACGGAAACGTTTATTCATACAATTACAATGGATTCATTTGTATTTAAAACAAATACAATTTATAAATAACACAGAACATAAATAAATGAAAGAACACAAATAGATATAAAATGGCGAAGAGTAAGTGAATTGACGGTATTTTGTAATGACTGACTATATATAGCATATAGAACCTTATAGCAAACATTCATTATAGAAAAAGCTTTACAGACATTTAAGATATCGTTAGCTACATCAAGCAAAGTAAAAGAATTTTTGTTCGATGCTTCTAAAAGCCTAAAGAGGAAATATAAAATTTAAAAAATGAATTTTTCATTCAAAATAAATCGCCCAATTCATTCAGAATACAAACATACCATATTAAAAGCATAGTCCCAGAATACCTTACTGAAACATGATTGAAAACTACTTAATCATGATCATAAAAGCAGTTATATGCTTCCAAAATAATAAATAAATACAATGTACGCTTTAAAAATAATAAATAGTTATGAAATGAAAATTTTATATGAAAAAACTAGTATGTATTCATTTATGGAAATTTATATTATTATTATATTGTGTTTTTTTTAATTGATTGCTTATACTCTATATTTAAAAACAAAGATTGCTATTAAATTTTAGTTGCCAAAATGCTATTGAGAAATTAATTAATTATACACATTTGCTGATTTTATCAAAATATTACTCTAGCATATATTTACTTAAAAATTGACTCAAAACATCCTAAAAAATGTTTTGCAAAAATCAAAAGTTAAACATAACTAAAGAAATATAATAAAATACATGAAATATATTTACATTTTTTAGACTTAGAAAAAGAAAAAAAATTTGCATTTTGTCGAGATAAATAAGTTTTCATTATTTTCAATTTTATATGTAAATTTCGAAAATATTTCAACTTTAAGCAATTTCAAATTACTTCAGGGAAAAAATGCTTAAAGAGATGTTACTTATTAAACCCCTTAAACGATGTTGATTTAATATTTATAAGATTAGTAATAATACTGAATAATTATGTATATTTACATTTTCTTCGAAAAAAGAAGAAAAATTCTTCCTGTTTATTAGATAATGTTTTCAAACCGACAGCTTTAATTTACATTTTTCAGACATTTTGAAGCTCATTTGCTTCACTCGAATTCATATTGCATTGCAAAATGTTTTTCTAATTTAGTAATTTGTGCTTTTTATGAATATATCATTAAAACTTAGAATGTTTAAAAATCAATTACGTTAACAACAATAAATGTAACGTCTTTTAGCGGGTTAATTATAATAATTACTACAATCTGTCAAGGGAAATGATCATTTGAGCGAAGTTCTTTTAACAAAAACTTTTTTTCATCGTATAAAAGCATTTACAAAAGCTTGAATTATGTCCAATAAGTTTAGCATGCATCCATCATACTGCACTCCACAGTTGGCGTTACTTTGGCGACCATATCGGGCTGCTAATTGATATTTAGACACAACATTGCTTGGATCTTCTGCATTTTTATAGGGTCTGTAAAATATGAAAAAAATTCATTTGTTTTTATAAAAATAAATAAATTAACATATATTTTTAGAAAATAAAATGTAAATTAACTCAATTCTAAATTTGCATTTATTATATTTTTTCAACACGTTTAATGAGATAAACCAATGAGTGCTGCAATGCTAATAACAATTCGAAACACGGAGTAGCACATTAATATACATGTTTTAAAAGAAAAATTGACGCATTCGTTTAGCTAGAAAATATATAGTAAACGAAGCATTATTATACATTTTCTAACAAAAGCACTAATACATAACTTTAAAGAAAACATTAAGACATATTTTCGCAAAGAAAATACATTCTGAACATTAATATGTTTTTTTCTAAGACAAATGTTATTAAATATTTTCAAAAGAAACATTAACACATATTTTCTAAAAGAAACATTAAAATAAATTTCCTAACAGAAATTGCAATACATATTTTCAAAAAGTAATAAATATTTTAAATAAATAAATATTTTCTTAAAAAAAACATTAATGCATATTTTCCGAGCGAAATATTAATATAAACTTCCTAACAGAAATAATAATACACATTTTCCAAAGAATAGGAGAATGGAAGAGAATATGGACGTTTTTTAAAAATTTGCCGAAATAATTTACTAGCCACCACTTTGAGTTTATTTTGATTACTTTAGACATTTTAGACATTTTAAAAACAACATTGATGCGCATTTTTCAAAGTACTATTTATATGCATTTTTCAGATTTATAAGAAAAATCTCGATTTATTAATATAAAGCGTATAACGATAAATTCATATAACAGTAATCTACATAATTTCTATTAACAATGGCACTCAAGGCACTTATAAGAAGCTTATTTTCGGAACACAAATACCCCCTACAAAGTCATTAATTGAACTATTGTTTGCGGAATTGTCTTTTTTATTTTTTCCGGAAGAGGCCCTCGAATTACATACCCCAGTGTCACACACAAAAGGAGGAGGTGAGCTCGAAGAACGCAAACGGCGAACCGAGACGATACATCCATCAATCAAAACTTTTTCTCGTACACCAACCTCCGAGAAGAACAAAAAGTTCGAAACAATATATCTAGCGTGTCTGATGAAGAAGTCAGAATTTTTGAGGTTATTTTCGAACTCAAGTAAGCGTTACAGAGCACCCCACATCGTTCTATTCTACATTTCTCTTGGTTTTCATTACAAAGGGGTGGACAAGTTCTCCAATAGGATATTGGCAGAAGTGTACCGCAGTGGTGGGAGTGTCTTCCGGTACAACATTACAACCGATTAAAGTTTGATCTGTAGATATATCGGAGTGCACGGGAGTGTTGTATTAGGAAACACGTCTAAATTTCTTGATTGAAGGGTGGTAAATATTTTATATTTGAGGAAGACATCTGACAAGAGCGATACAGGCTTTGGTTATTAGAACGTTGCAACCTGAATCTGCCATTCTTCCGAATTCTAGCTTATTTCTGAACAACGATAAGTTCCCTAAAGTATTTATGACTAATATTCGCATGTAAATTTATTGTCTTTTCCTAATTGCCAGGATTAATGTAACTTATTCGAGAAGTGACCCAGGTGGTCTAAAATCTCAACATATGCATATCAAAAATTTATTTGATATCCATTATTAACAAATTTGTGGTTGGCAAGCAGAGCCTGACAGAGGCAGGGGCATACGGGCAGTAGCCCCGGGCAACACATCAAAGGGGGCCCTCAAATAGAATAGAAAGTTTATTTTAGGTTTCCTTCTTTAATGAACTGTTTTTTTGATCAAAATATCAGTAAAATCCGTCAATTTTATACTAGTCTCTTCATTAATCTATCGTATGAGCACAAAAAATCAATACTTTGTAAATCCATGGCTTTCTAGTGCAAAATTCAGCTAAATTTTCGCAATTTCGATGGACAAATTTGGCCAATCAAAAGCTTGAATTTTTAAATATTGCAAAATGCGATGTGTTTATAAAAATACAGGCTTCTGATTGGCTTAAGTGAACCATCGTAATTGCAAAAATTTAGCTGAATTTCACCCTATAGTCAGCAAGGATATGAATTTTTCGCAGCTAGATGACAAAATTAACAATCAGATAACTGCTTTCGGCATGATGGACATATTTAGAATTGTCAGAAAATCAATAAAATGGACAGAACGTTATTTCGTCTGACCATTAGAGGGGGAGGGGACTTTATTGTTATTTTAGGTTCTAGTCAATTTTCTTGTTACTTATGCATAATTAAGTGAAAAATTTAAATACCTCCATAAAATTCAGTTCTTCATTACTAAAGTAGTGAAGCAGAGGAGGCCCCCAAAAATGTTTTTGCCCCGGGCCCCAATTTGGCTAAGTTGGGCCCTGTTGGCAAGTGGTCCTGCTACCTACCAACTCATGCTACCTATCCTCACTGAGAAAACAAACTATGGTCAAAACTACCAGTATATGGCGAAATTTACCTTGTTTCTGGCTCAATGAGATCACCAAACAATTCGGTAATTTTTTATCGATACGCTTTAGTAATGATTTTTGTAAAATTAACAAAATCATTACTAAAATAGTTTATCATTACTAATTATGGTTTCAAAATACTTGTTAAAATTTGGTAAGTGTGATGGAATTTTTTAATTTTATCATGATAGTTTAGAGCAAGACATTAAAACCGTTTATTCGATTAAATTTAAGTAAAATAAAAATATTACCGTTGCTATAAGTTCTAGAATTGATAAATTGCTTAGTTGGAAAGCTTAAATACGCACTATGAAAAGAGTATGGTCAAAATTACCAGATTATGGTAAAATTTACCATGTTTCTAGCTCTATGGGAACACTGAAAAGCTCTGTAATTTTTACGAAAACACTTTGGTATTGATTTGGTAAAATTAACAGTAAAATATGATTTTATAATACTTGATAAAATTTGGTTATTCTATGATGATACCTTAGAGCAATTATGAAAGCCATTTACTCGGTTGAATTCAGTTTTTTGTTTTCCATTTTTTTCTAAATGTGTAATAATAAGAACTATAATTTTAAAAACCAGAATTCCTATTTAATCCTTACCATATGAGCAGATAAATTACCAAATGAATGGTTTAAATACCGTATATTTTAGCTTTATTAACAAGAATTGTATATTTTTTCCATAAGTGTCATTACCATGCAGTACGGTAATTTAACCAGAATTTTTCTCTCCGGGTAAACGTAACTTCTGTTTGAAATAAATTTTGTTTATTAATATTTCTACAATACCAATCTGTTGAATAATTCAATTTCACCGGTAAAATAAATCTACATGTTTGAATTAAAATTACAACGTTTCGAAGGTGAAATTTGTTACGAGATGAATACATTATTCATTGATTGTATACTTAATAAAATTCTACAGTTATAGCTTTCCATGAATAATCTGAGTTATACCTGGAAAAAACCTACACCTTTCAATACTCCTGAATTTTGAACAGTCATTAAAATATTAAAATTAGAAAACATATAATTTCTAAAAAATTTGAAATTATAAGCAATAGTGAAATAAAATTTAAAAAAAGATTTTTTTTCGAGATATAAATATAAAATTATATTCGACTATATTCTAAATAAATAGTTTTTAAAAAAATTTGAAAATATTCAGAAACAGAATAGCAACCTGATATTTACATGAAAATTGAAAATTTAATATAAAAAAGTTAACATAAGTACAACATGAATAATAAAAGATAATGTAAGAAATTATTGTCTATGGAGCATTATTTGCAGGTATTGTATTTTTAATTCTATTAATTTAAAAATGTTCTATTTCTTTAGAAATGTTCTTATCCTCTCACAATTAATTAATTAATTAATTTTTTTTCAAGTTAATTTTTTTAAACAGTATTTTACTTTACAAGTCTTTTAAATCTAAAGGTTTTATCCTCTTTCAAGAGTATGTAATTAGTTTTAAATCAAAATTTGAATGAATTATTCGAGTTACAAAAGTTATTTGTTAAGCCAGATAGGTACTGGTATAGTTGATACAGGCACTAATCTGAATTTTTATTTGGAATGCTTTAAATAAATTATATTAAATCATTATGTTGGCAAGAGTGAATTATTTATTTTAAAATCATTCAATTAAAGTTAAAATTTCCAAATGTTTTTAGTATTGGGATTTCCTTACTTTTAGTCTCTTTCATAATACCTTTCGCTCAATTATAATTACGTTTTAAATTAATTAAAAAACTTAAATCACTTGAATTAATTGAATTTCTAATATGAATCTCGTGATTTAAGTCACTTCTCTCTGTAATCAAAACTACCAATTCAGATTAAAACTATCTAACGCACTCGTTTAACTCAAATCCTTTTGGTTTTGCTTATTTTTTCCAAACTCCTTACTTTTTGAACAGATAAATTAATTAATTGGCTATTATCAATAAATTCATTATTAATTATTCTCCATAACTTTGTGGTTTCATAAAAAAAATTTACATCTATCGTCGTGAATTTATAAAAACAATAGCTACTTTTTCCCTGTCAAAAAAATTATAATTTCTTAAACAAAATTAAAGTTAAAAACAAGGGAAAAAATTATCGATTTCTAGTTTCACAATTTCGTAGAAGAATAGTTTTGTGTGTCTTTTAACACTTACGGGAAAAGCAACTGTAAAACAAGACCTATAAGGCCATATTTCTTAGGCTGATTATGAGCTTCACAAACGCTTCTTTTCATGCATTCCTGTGCTTCTAATCTAGGCAGACTTGGCCAATCCTCCAACTTGTTTTCCACCAAGGACATCATGTATTCAGAGACACTATTGAGACCATTACTAAAGAAGCTCTGTCGTGCACTTAGACCTCTGGACCTAAAGGGGAAAAAGAAGATTCGTGTCAAGGTCTGTATGAACGTCATAAAAAGGCATTGGTACACCTTAAACATTACAATTTAGATTCTAATAAGTTACTGTTTAAAAAGACAAACAGGCACGATAAATTGATGTTTTTTTAATGTAACTTATTTATGTTACAGAACCCTATTCAGTAATGTCGTAATTTTTAGAGGTTGATTAAAACTATCCATCTTTCATATAGTTGAGTAATTAGTTACCCCTTTATACATGGAGAGAAAAATATTCTGATTAAATTATCGTATTATTTGGTAATGGCATTTTTGATTTTAAAAAAAAAAGCACAGTTCTGGTGAATGAAACTAAAATATACAGTATTTATAACATTTATTTAGTAAGTTCATATGGTAACGGTTAACCGAAAATTCCAATTTTCAAAATTTTAATTCTTATTACTACACAGTTTGTAAAAAATACAAAACGAAAAGTAAAATTCATCGAATAAATGGTTATACCGCCATGCTGCAAAGTATCATGATAAAATTTCTAAATTTTACCACATTTATCAAATATTATAAGACAATATTTTATTGTTAGTTTTACCATAATCATTATGGAAGCACTTCGCTCAAAATTGCCGAACCTTTTGATGTTCCGATAGAGCCAGAAACACGGTAAATTTTATTATATTCTAGTAGTTTCGACCATACTTTTTTTCTCAGTGCACATTTAAGTTTTTCACCTAAGCAATTTTTCAATTCTAGAACTTATAGTGACAGTTAAATATTTTTATTGTAGCTAATTTATAGTATTATCTTAAACTCATATATAAAGATAAATTTAACGTTTCTTATTTAAATAAATAACCTTTTAACTTCCATTGTACTTTTATAGTTACTTTACATTGTACTTACATAAATATTTTCCAGAAAAAATTAACTTGTTCTAAGACTTTATTAAAAATTTCTTTGGTACTTGTCATTTTTTAAATTTGCTTACCTACATGTATAATTGCAAACTTTAAGCTGAACTAATTCAGTTAAAAATTTAAAGTAAGGGATGTAGTTAACTAAATAAAATAAATTAGTTCAGAGAAAAATTAGATCATAAATTCAACTAATTCAGTTTAAAATCAACAAAATATATTATCCACGAAATCCTATTAAATTCTAAATACTTTTTCGTTTCTTTTTACTAACTTACTTATCGAATATAAGAACCAACATGCAACCAATAAAACTTTTCTAATTTTTAAGAGCAAAAAAAAATTTAAGATTTATTTTTTAAAAAAATTTGTATTTTTATAAATTCGGACAACTACATATATAACTGCAAACTTCAAATCCGGTTTAAAATTTCCAGTTGTGGTTAACCGAATGAAATAAGTTAGTTCAGCTTAAAATTAGATTTATAAACTAAATCAAACACTTTGAAATCAACCAAATATATCCACAAAATCCCTATAATTTCTGAATACCTTTTCGGGTTTTTTTACTAACTTATTTATCGAATATACGAACCAGCTTACAATCAATATACAATAGCGTGCAAAAGTTTTTGGTTAAACTCTTCAATATTATAGATGGTTGATTGAAAATGTAATAAATAATGTATAATTTTATTCCTAAACATTCTTAATATACTTATCAATCAGAAAGCAAAGTTAGCGCCTTGAAAGTCACTTTAAATCAGGTGCTTAATTTTCACTTTTATGTCACTTTAATTTTCATATTAGCCGGGTATTTGTTTTTCGTGAAGCGATTTTCTTACATCTAAGAATTGGATGAAAATACAATTGAAAAATACAATTTTAGCAGATAAGTATAAGTTTTGCATAATTAATTACGGAAATCGTGATTTTAACTTTAATTTATAATTGACATTTATTTTTGAAGAATTAGTTCCGACAAGACTCAAAATGTATGAAAAAAGAAATATTCAACTGTACTGGGTGCAAAGATTTAAATTTAATCCAAAGAAGATTACATTTTCCTTTAAATTGCAAGAAAATTAAAAATTCTGAAATCAATTGACTAAATAAAACGAAAATCATCTCTACAAAGACAGAAACAAAAAGAAAGAAACGTTAAAATGCTCTTCACGCGTTGGCCAAGAACTTTTTTGCACGCTAGTGTAACTTTTCTAACTTTTAACAACAACAAAAAAAAACGATACTTTATCACGCATTTCCAATACCCAGAACATGTTCTAACTCATAAAAAGTGAACAACAAAAATTTTCAACTTTCATTCCGAAATTCCGAAGACTTACTTATTAGATTTAAATACACGTGAAGATGAAAAATCCTTAATTCAAAGTGGAGGAGGATTTTCCTGTTCCGTCTCCACTGTCAGGACGTCACAATGTCAAAGTACAGTGACCCGGATACAAAACATCACGCCTCAAATGAATCAAAGATTCTATCTATTACATTTAAATACATGCCAATTTATCAAAGTTTCTTTTTAAATTTAAATACATAAAATGAAATATGAAAACAAATTATACATGGATACGCTTGTTATTGTTTATGGAGAATATTTATTGTTTTCAAATATCGATAATCAAATTATTTGAGGTAAAAAATTAAAATTCGTCTCGATTGAATGCCTAAAACATTCTTCCTTATTTAAATAACCTAACAAACTTATCGTTTTGCATTGTTTTATTTCATTAGATCCAATTTTTTATGTATATATAAATCAGCTATGAGTTAAGTATTCTGAAATAATAAAAAAATTTCAAAATTACTACCACGGTTTATGTAATTAAATGATTAAATATTGATATTTCAACACAAGCATTTAGATTTCAGAGTTAAAAACCATAGTTTATCAAACTAAATATTAATATTTCAGGATTACAAGCGAAAGTTAATGTAACCAAATACTAATAATACATAATTACAAGCCAAAGTATATGAACGAACATTAATATTTCAGAATTACAAACCATAGTTTACGAAACTAAATACTAATGTTACAGAATTGCAAGCCAAAGTTTATCAACTAAATACCATAATGTCAGAATTATATGCCATAGTATATGTACCTGTGTATTATTGTTTCAATTAGAACATCTATATTTCAGAATTACAGCTCATAGAGGAATATAACAAAATTTCACCACGTATTATAAATACCTATTTTATTGTTAATTCTACCAAAATCATTACCAAAGCGCTTTGGTAAAAATTAGCGTGCTTTTTGGTGTTCCTATAAAACCAGAAACACGTTGGATTTTATATTTTGGCAACTTTGATCCTACTTTTTTTTTCTCAGTGTACTAATGTCACTTGCTAAACATTTTTAATTTTGTAATGCAAATAATTACAAAAAAAATGTATTCCTAAGAAAAAAATATATAATAAGTTATTAAGCATCGGTTATAAAGCTATTTTCCATTCTTTTATTTTTCTTTATTAAACACTTAGCTAGTTTGTTTGTTTCTTTCAAGTCACGTAAAATTACTTTTATGGTCATCATATTTGCTTTATTAATACCAAAATCAAATTTCGAGCACTGTATATTCAATGACAGGAAATAATGCATCACCAATTTTGTATAAATTCAGTGATGTGAGCCGCGATGGCTCAAGGGATAGAGCGTTCGCCTTCCAATAAAGCGAACCGGGTTCGAATCCCAGTCGATACGAATTCCGCATCCGGCTTGCACCGACCACAGTGCTGATGTGAAATATCCTCAGTGGTATACGGATCATGGATTAGAGTCCCCTTGCCGTCAGGCTAATCATAGGAGGTTCTCGTGGTCTTCTTCTCCATGTAACACAAATGCGGATTAGCTCCGTCAAAAAGTCCTCCACGAAGGCAAAATTTCTCCCAATACTCGATCCAGGAGTTCCCTTGTCTTCTGGATTGGGTTCAAAATTACAAGGCTACGGAGTTGAACATTAGTAGTCGTAAACCCATAAAGTTGGATCAGCTGTTCAACAACGGTTATAAAATTAAAATAACAATTCAGTGATGTGAGTCATGATGGATCATGAGCATAGAGCGTTCGCCTTCCAATCAGGTGAACCGAGTTCGAATCCCCGACATGGCTGGTAGATGAGAATTTCGCGTCCGGTTCACAACGCCCACAATTCTGACGTAAAATATCCTCAGTGGTAGGCGGATCATGGGTAGAGTCCCCTTGCTGTCAAGCTAACCGTGAAAGGTTATCGTGGTTTTCCTGTACATGTAATGCAAATGAGGGTTAGTCTCATCAAAAAGTCCTCCATAAAGGCAAATTTCTTCTGAAGTTCCCTTATCTTTTAGGATTTGGTTCACAATTACAATTCTACGGAATTGAACATTGGTAGTCATGTACCCAAAATTGCGTCGGCTGTTCAACGACAGTTATAAAATAAAAATATAATTCACTGATGTGTTTTTTAAAAAATTAATTAATCAGGACTTTATAGATTATATATTCTCAAGACCAAAGCACAATAAATAAATCTTCTTTCACAAATAAACATTTTATGCTGGAAAACTCATCACGTTTAGCGAGGATCTTTTTAAGTACTATTCTTTGTCAGTTACGCTAATTATGACAAAATTATATTAAAAATTTAGAACTCAGCAATTAAAGATAAAAAATTCTTAAAAAAGAGCAATCAGGGGACATATAAGAAGTTATATTGAATATGAAAACATCGGAAATATTTTCAGATTAGTATTTTAACTAATTTGAAATTTCCGTTAAATAAAGTTATTAAAATAATCCGAAACCTTTAAATATCTATAAATCCTTTTAACATCTATAAGAAATTTTGGAACTACCATTTTATCTACCAACAGTTACTGATTTCTATAAGTTCACAAGTTCGCTTTATTAAAAAGAAAATGTAGATAAACAAAATATATTTTGCTCTATGTAAACTATACTTAGGCAAAGCTACGCTTTAAACAATACCAAGGCTACAACAAACTGTTTGCATCATTTACTAATGGTTTTACCAAGTAACACTTTACGTCGATTACGTTGATTGATAATTATTAAGAGTTTGATAACTGA